TAAACAAATCTTCCAATCTCCCTTTCCTTTTGGGTTTTTCACTTAAAAATCGCTATTTAAAGAACTACAGCCGATTTTAGATTTTTCATATAAAAATCGATTTTTTGTAGAAAATATGAGTGATCACAGATTTTCACTATTTCCTTGATTTGAGCGTTATTTAAGGAACTACAGCCGATTTTAGTTTTCTCTTATAAAAATCGATATTTCATAGAAAATATGACTGATCACAGATTTTCACTATTTTCTTGTTTGGAGCGTTATTTAAGGAACTACAGCCGATTTTAGTTTTCTCATATAAAAATCAATATTTCATAGAAAATATGACTGATCACAGATTTTCACTATTTTCTTGATTGGAGCGATATTTAAAGAACTACAGCCGATTTTAGATTTTTCATATTAAAATCGATATTAGAAAATATGAGTGATCACAGATTTTCACTATTTTCTTGATTGGAGCGTTATTTAAAGAACTACAGCCGATTTTAGTTTTCTCATAAAAATATCGATATTTCATAGAATATATGAGTGATCACAGATTTTCACTATTTTCTTGATTGGAGAGTTATTTAAGGAAGTACAGCCGATTTTAGTTTTTTTATATAAAAATCGATTTTTCATAGAAAATATGAGTGATCACAGATTTTCACTATATTTAAGGAACTAAAGCCGATTTTAGTTTTCTCATACAAAAATCTATATTTCATAGAAAATATGAGTGATCACAGATTTTCACTATTTTCTTGATTGGAGAGTTATTTAAGGAACTACAGCCGATTTTAGTTTTCTCATACAAAAATCGATATTTCATAGAAAATATGAGTGATCACAGATTTTCACTATTTTCTTGATTGGAGCGTTATTTAAGGAACTACAGCCGATTTTAGTTTTCTCATACAAAAATTGATATTTCATAGGAAATATGAGTGATCACAGATTTTCACTATTTTCTTGATTGGAGCGTTATTTAAGGAACTACAGCCGATTTTAGATTTATTCATATAAAAATCGATTTTTCATAGAAAATATGAGTGATCTTGATTGGAGCGTTATTTGAGCCGATTTTAGATTTATTCATATAAAAATCGATTTTTTATAGAAAATATGAGTGATCACAGATTTTCACTATTTTCTTGATTGGAGCGATATTTAAGGAACTACAGCCGATTTTAGATTTATTCATATAAAAATCGATTTTTCATAGAAAATATGAGTGATCACAGATATTCACTATTTTCTTGATTGGAGCGATATTTAAGGAACTACAGCCGATTTTAGATTTCCATATTAAAATCGATATTTCATAGAAAATATGAGTGATCACAGATTTCCACTATTTTCTTGATTGGAGCGTTATTTAAGGAACTACAGATTTTAGTTTTCTCTTATAAAAATCGATATTTCATAGCAAATATGAGTGATCACAGATTTTCACTATTTCCTGGATTGGAGAGTTATTTAAGGAACTACAGCCGATTTTAGTTTTCTCATACAAAAATTGATTTTTCGTAGAAAATATGAGTGATCACAGATTTTCACTATTTTCTTGATTGGAGCGTTATTTAAAGAACTACAGCCGATTTTAGTTTTCTCATATAAAAATCGATATCTCATAGAAAATATGAGTGATCACAGATTTTTACTATTTTCTTGATTGGAGCGTCATTTAAGGAACTACAGCCGATTTTAGTTTTCTCATACAAAAATCGATATTTTATAGGAAATATGTCTGATCACAGATTTTCACTATTTTTTTTACTGGAGCGTTATTTAAGGAACTACAGTCGATTTTAGTTTTCTCTTATAAAAATCGATATTTCATAGAAAATATGAGTGATCACATATTTTCACTATTTTCTTGATTGGAGCGTTATTTAAAAAACTACAGCCGATTTTAGATTTTTCATATTATAATCGATATCTCATAGAAAATATGACTGATCACAGATTTTTACTATTTTCTTGATTGGAGCGTCATTTAAGGAACTACAGCCGATTTTAGTTTTCTCATACAAAAATCGATATTTTATAGGAAATATGTCTGATCACAGATTTTCACTATTTTCTTTATTGGAGCGTTATTTAAGGAACTGCAGCCGATTTTAGTTTTCTCATACAAAAACTGATATTTTATAGGAAATATGAGTGATCACAGATTTTCACTATTTTCTTGATTGGAGCGTTATTTAAGGAACTACATCCGATTTTAGTTTTCTCATACAAAAATTGATATTTTATAGGAAATATGAGTGATCACAGATTTTCACTATTTTCTTGATTGCAGCGTTATTTAAGGAACTACAGCCGATTTTAGTTTTCTCTTATAAAAATCGATATTTCATAGAAAATATGAGTGATCACAGATTTTCACTATTTTCTTGATTGGAGAGTTATTTAAGGAACTACAGCCGATTTTATTTTTTTCATACACAAATCGATATTACATAGAAAATACGAGTGATCACAGATTTTCACTATTTTCTTGATTGGAGCGTTATTTAAGGAACTACAGCCGATTTTAGTTTTCTCATACAAAAATTGATATTTCATAGAAAATATGAGTGATCACAGAACTACAGCCTATTTTGGATTTTTCATATAAAAATTTATTCTTCATCTAAAATATGATTGGAGCGTGATTTAAAGAACTACAGCCGTTTTTAGATTTTTCATATCAACATCTATAGTTGTGGTTATTAATAATCATAATCTTAACTAATTATTTAGTGGCATAAAACTATGATTTCTCAGCTGACAGCTTGGACACACAACGAGACAATGGTGGCTTCTGTCGGTCAAATCACTTGTGGTGTTAGAAAATTATGATGACGATTGTTATAATGACAAAAATTGTTGGTTTTTCTAAAAGCAGATACTTAAAGTAATGCAATCAATGTTTTTTTTAAGTAAGAACAATTAGATTTTTTACCTAATTAACCTTAAATTTATATAAAATAGGAGAAAATTTATTATTTATATTTAATAGTTAAAATGCGATTGAATTCACCCTTTTTCTTTTCAATGAATTCGACTTTCAAAGTTCTGCTAATTCGGTATAACATTTATAAAATACACAAATGAAAAATATCTTCCTATTTTAGGGTTTAAAACTTAAAAAGTAAAAGTTCATTATAAAATACAAATAAACATAAAATCTTCTAAAAGTTTCTTATAGGAAAACCTTCCACGAAAAAAAAGACGGTCATGCGAATTTAAGCTTCATTAATAAATAGCAAAAGATGAAACAACAAAAACCACAAAAAACAATCATCATCATTTATTGTTACATGTCATGCATGTCATTTATATCAAACAAAAGTAGCAAACGTAGGCAAAATACACTTAGAAAAAAACAGGAGGGAAAACCTACCGTTATAAAATTTCACATTTTTATTGTTGTGTGTTAAAATTGCAGTATTTTAAAAGCTGCCTTTAAGTTGAAATATGAAATTTGATTTACATTTTTCTTTGAGTGTACCGTTAGTAAGTTTTTTATAGTACACGTAGTACTGGTAGGAGTAGTAATAGTACCCTCAACGACTTCCTTTTTATATTTAAGCGTGATATTTGTGCATTCATATATATACATATGTAATACATATTATGTATGTATGTTTGTATTCAAAGACTATTTTGTGTTTATCATTATTTAATAAACATTGTAATACAAACATACATATATCACTTATACATTCGGTCCTACAAATAATCCATTCAACAAAAGCTCTGTATGTGGTAACAGTGTCAGTTGTCTAAAGGCCTCTCTATTAAAAAAAATATAGTTTAAACACTTTGTTGTATTGTTTCAATACCCTATATGTCGTGAAGTAGTTTGTACTGATCTTAAAATATAAATGATTTGAAGCGAAAATATGAATGACTCTAGGACGATTTTGTTTGAAATCGATTCATAATTTCTCTAAGTCGCTCTTCCGGAAAGTTTGGTTGAAATTGGATATTAGACCCTGGGACCTTTATAAATTTGCAAAATAACGTATTTATAAATAAGTTTTATTAGAACATGGACTTAATTTTGTAGAGATCTTTCTATAGCCATAATCTTTATTCGCTTGAAGAAAATAATATGTTTATCATAAACAGATCTTTAAAATATAACGGCTCTAAAGAGTTGGTTTATTTAATTCTATACAGTTCGGTCCATAGCAGACCTGTAATTCCATAAGGGGACTTCTGTTGAAAATCATATAAATTTTGTAATAATTCATAACAAAAAGTTTCACTATAACAATTTTTATAAAAATCGGAACATTGGAGACCTTGGTTCTGGGCACTACTGCTGTAGAGTATCATAAGGTTGGATAAGGCCAACTTTAATTTCCTATTTGTTTGTATTTGCTTTGTGTCAGCCATCATAATGCTACCGGCAAAATCTGTATATTTTGTTAATTTACTTTTTTATTTCTCCCAAACCAGGAGTTTATTTGTAGGGTTATCAAAGATGAATTTCTGCAGTGTAAGAATTATGAAATATATATTCAAAATTTAATGTTTAAACACTCATGAACTGCAAACTCCAAAAATAGTGTTAATGACAATAATGAGGGAGTGTTTATTTCTGACAGATTTCATAATGTCTCAAATATTTAAATACGGAAATAAACAAATATTATTAATGAGTTTTACAAAAAAAGAGTAAAATTTACGATTAACATATTTCATATAGTCAAATGTAAATAATATTATAATTGAAACAAATCAAGAATAATTTATTTGTAAAATTAGAAAAACAAAAGAACAGCTGTAGTAAAAATTGTTTAAGTCGAAATAGAGATCACAACAAAGGTTATAAATTGTAAATTGTTTATATTTTATTTAGTTTATTTAAATAATAAAAAGAAAATGTAATAATACTAAAACACAAACTTTTGTTTATAATTCATTATCAGCGTAACTAATACAAAAACTATTATTGTATAATTAAAAACGTGTCAAACACTTAATATTTGTTGTCTATAGTTTTTTTATATATATTATTTATTTAATAAAATAAAATCCCTTTGCTGTTTTAAACAATTATTTAGTTGACCATAAACCGTGTTAAAGACAACATGAAATTTTTTATAGTTTTGAGTTTAATTTTAAGTGTTTTCTCACTAACATTTGCTGACGAATCAGCCGGGTTCTTTACAGATCCAGGTACCTTTTACTTATTAGTGGTTATGTTTTTTTTTTAAATAAAACAAATGTTTAAAGTATTTGTTTTAACTTTAAATTCTTAAAGCTCATCCTGGAAAATGTGTTTATGAAGATGTAATTCTTTCACCCGGTGAAGAGGCAAAATTACCTGGACAGTGTGCTAGATTCTCATGTGGTGAAAACAGTTTTGCGACTATTCAGGGGTAAATATAATAAGTGAAATAATAATTAAAATTGATATTTTTTCAATTATAAATTTTTTATTATAGTTGTGGTGTTATGTTACCTCCACCCGGTTGTCATTATGGTGACTTTATTGATAGTAGTGCTCCATATTCCGACTGTTGTGAAAAGGAACTTATATGTTCTTAATTCAAAATAAAGTATTTAAATAAATATAGATATAAAAATTAAAATCAAGTGTTCTTAATTAAATTTTTTTTGGAAAGCGGACCTATATTTAAATAGTTAATACCAAGTTAGGTACTGCTGTCAAAGAGTCGGACCACTTGTTATACTTTGGTAACATGTATGTATTTGTTAATAAATAAGAACAGTTTTCTTAAAGTGCTAAAAAGGACAGTTTTCTCCCGTTTTTTTTCCCAAAAAGTACTGAATTTTGAAACGTACGAAATAAGTGTCTGATAATATAACCCATGAAATATTTGAATAATCTAATATTTTCCCAGATATATGTAAGTTTGTATTTAATTTATGTATGGGGGGTGCCAAGCCACCTATTGAAAGTCCGACCATTTTTCTTTAAATATTCACATTAAGATCAAAGTTCTTCATGTAAGAAGAATTTTTGTATTTAATTCAGTCAAAATTTGAAGATTTTAAGTCCATTAAATTGCCAGACAAAAGAATTTGTGTATTTAGTTTATATGTGAAGTGTCACGTCCCCTATTGCTATTCCGCCAATTTATTACCCAAATGTTCACATGGATGTCAAAGTTATTCTTGATAAACGATTTTTTTTGTATTTAATTCATATGGGAGGTTTCAAGCTTCCCTAATGAAAGTCCTCCCATTTTCCCCAAAATGTTTAGATGAATATTAAAGTTCTTCGTGTAAAATTTTAAGAATCTAGCTCTATTAGTTTCCCAGATAAACGAATTTTTGTATTTAATTCATATGAAAGGTGCCACGCCCCCATTTTATTACCCAAAATGTTTACATGAATGTTAAAGTTCTTCGTGCAACTCTAATAGTTTTTAAGATAATCAAATTTTTGTATTTAATTCATATTGGAGGTGCCACACCCCTATTGTTATTCCGCCCACTTTTTATCTTAAATACTAATATTGACACTAAAGTGATTTCGAGAAAATTTAAGGACTCTAACTATTATATTTTCTCAGATATACTAATTTAAGGAAGAAGCGACGCCCACTACAGACATTCCGACCATTTTGTCAACAGCTTTTCTTATGGATGTAAAAATTTTACGATTCTGGATGTTGCAGTTTCTGAGATATGTAACTTTAATGCTTATTATGTATGTAGGCGTGACTCCTCACCCACTTGAAATTTTAAAATATAATGTTGCCTTTAACTTCTTCCAGACATAAAGGAATACACTGTGAAAATTTCAAGAAAATCGATTCAGCCTTTTTATCGCCCAGCAGTTCGGTCGGACAGTCCCGAAATACCTATTTAACCTACCACTTAGGGTTACCCCTAGCCATTGACTGTCCAGGTGACTAACTATTAAAACATGCACTTGTCCTATGAGGAAGTCAATCGTCAATCAATCGAAGAGACAAACAAAAAGCTTAAGTTTTTTTATTAAGTGTCCCCTATCTCTAGGTTATGAAGAGGCAGACAAGTGCTTTGTAAGTGTCCCCTCTCTCGCTTACAAAGGGAGCACTAAAATGACGATTATCTTCACTCTCGTTTACAAAGAGTACATCCGTGACGAAAGATGAATTAGAGCCAACCAGGTGGTTAGACTTTAGTGAAAATCACTGAATATTCTTATTAAAATATGTATGTATAATAAACCCTGTATTTATTAAGATATTATTCATTTATTTCAGGTTTATTACACACATTTTCCATACAAAATTCCGTCAATAAACCGTCAACATCTTCATTAGGCATTTGTAATGTGGGGGTAAAATTATTAATATCAGTGCTAATTAAATATGTAAATAACCAGCGCTATATATGTACATACATCATTATTTTTCTCACTTTAAGATCTCAAAATTAAATTTAACATTTAGTTAACTGTTGATAGTGTGCAAGAAAACATGAATTTTTTAATATTTTTAGCTTTAAGTGTAACTGTTTTTTCACAGGATTACTCAGGAGACTTCAAAGATCCGGGTAATAATTCTTTGATTTTAGGTTTTAAAAAATAAGTTTTACTTGTTTTCAAATATCATAATAGATCATCCTGGTAAATGTGTCCGTGATGGTTTAATTCTTTCTCCTGGTGAGGAGAGAAAAGTACCTGGGGAATGTGCTCTGATGACGTGCTATGACGACGGCTTTGCCACATTTAAAACGTAAGTATATTTTGAATAATTTTTAGTAATAATAATAAATTTAAATTGGATATTTCTATAACTTAAAATTTCTAAAATTTAATAAGATATTGTTAAAAATAATAAGTATAAGCATATTCACTTTAAATGTAATAATGATATAATTTTTTATTCGATGTATATCTTATAGATGTGGTACAATGGTGGCTCCACCTGGATGTCAATTTGGTGACTATTTTGATATTGATGCTCCATTTGGTGACTGTTGTGAAATGACATATTCCTGTTATTAATTAATAATTTAGAATATACAAAAATAAAAAAGTCTGAATCTTATTTATAAATTAGGCGTGAGCTTACCACGTTTGTTAACATTTAGACAACGGATGTGTATAAAATTTAAATTTCGACAACGAATTGTTGCAATGTTGTCAACATTACATAGTGTTGTCGTACGTATGTATACACTTTGACAACGGATGTTATTGAAACAGTTTGTTGTTAATTTGGCACCAGGCATGTATATTTCTTTTTCCCTCTTTGTATGTATCTCCACTTTTTATACCCACCATACAAATTGAGGAATATATATGGATTAATTGTCAATCTGTTTATAACACATTGAAATATTGGTCACAAATCCTCCCCTTATGGGATTTTAAGATGATTCCATACTAACAGAATTCAGTTTAAACAGTAAAAAATATAATGATTATGTAGCAATAATGGCAAAATAGGACATCGGTCCATATAAGCTCCTCTAAATTACAATTGTTCAGAATAAATGCATATAAAATATTTACTTCGAAATGGAAATATTTTTAAAGGTTGAAAGGTAAATTCATTATATTATAATACATATTAACAAACAAAATACATTAATATTTATTTTATAAAACTTTATCAGCGCACTTCATATAAAATAATAATGCATTAAAAAAACCAAAAGTTAATAATAATTCATAAAATTTGTTATTTCTACATAAATCCGTTTCGTAGTATATATATAAAATTCAAAATTTTTTTAAACATTTATTTAACCGTAAACAGTGTTAAAGAAAAGATGAAATTTTTAATATTTTTAGCTTTAATTGTAACTGTTTTTTCAGAGGATTACTCAGGATACTTCAAAGATCCTGGTAACAAGTGTTTGATTTTAGGTTAAAAAATAAATTTAATTTGTTTTCAAATATCATAGATCATCCTGGTAAATGTGTCCGTGATGATTTAATTCTTTCTCCTGGTGAGGAGGCAAAAGTACCTGGAGAATGTGCTATGATGACGTGCCATGACGACGGTTTTGCCACATTTAAAACGTAAGTAAATTTTTAAAATAATCAGAAATTTTCATTTGTTTCGAATATTTTCTATAATGGAAAATTTCTGAATGATAATAAGAAATGTCTAAAAATAATAAATATAAGTTTATACACTTTAAACGGTCATGAATAATATTATTTTTTATTTTATTAATATTTAACATACATATATATATATATGTATATTTTATAGATGTGGTGTAGTTTTGGCTCCATATGGATGTAATTTTCCTGACTATGTTTCTCTTGATGCTCCATTTGATGAATGTTGTCAATTGAAAGAATGTTATTAACATTCGAATTTAATTAAATACACAAAAATAAAAAAATAATGAAAATTTAAGAATTCGATTCATTCAAATTATATTATGTAATAAATTATATCTATATATATATAAAAATTAATGTGTGTTTATTTGTTTGTGGGTTTGTTTGTTTGAAGTCTATAGACGGCTAAACGGCTGGACCGGTTTTCTTGAAATTTTAACAGTACCTTCCTGTATATCTGGAAGGAACTATAGGCTACTTTTTATTTTAAAATTTTAAGTAGGCGAGTTGCCACGCCTACTTATTTAATAGCTATTAAAAGTCATATATCTTGGAAACTGGTACAATTAGAGTTCTCAAATTTTGCACAGACAACTTTGACATCCATAAGAATATTTTTTTGACAAAATGGGCGGAATGACAACAGTGGGCGTGGCACCTTCCATATTAAGAAAATATTAAATCAGTATATCTCGGAAAATGTAACTAACAGTTAGAGCCCTCAAATTTGGTCGGAGCCCTATTAGTCTCCATGTGATTAGTTAGGATAAAAAGTAGGAGACTATCAGCAGGGGCGTGGCACCTCCTTAATCAAATAAAAAATTCGTTTATCTTGGAAACTATTAGAGTTAAAAGCTTCCAATTTTGCAAGAAGAACTTTAGCATCCATATGAATTAAATACAACAAAATATTTTATCTAAGAAACTAATAGAACCAGATTCCTAAAACTTTACAAAAAGGACTTTCATATTCATCTGAATATTTTGGGGAAAAAAAGCGGACTTTCATCAGGGGGTGGGTTGGAACCCTCATATGAATTATATAGCAAAAATTTGTATATCTGAGATACTGTAGAAGCTAGAATCTTCAAATTTTACATGAAGAACTTTGACATTCATGTGAACATTTAGAGAAAAATTGGCGGACTTTCAATGGGGGGATTGACCCCTCATTGAGTGGCATCTCCCATGTGTAAGTGGGTTTTTTTGCTTTTAGTGTAGCAAAGCACACTAGGTATAGCTAGTTATGTATAAATTACACTTGAAAATATATGCGATAGAACTATTTATTTTATTTACTTCGAAATAGAAATCTATTTAAAGGTTAAAAGGTAAAATAATTATATTTTAATACATATTAACAAACAAACTTAATAAATATTTATTTTGATTTTCTAAATAAAATATAAGTATTAAACTTTATCAGTGCACTTCAAATAAATAATAATGCATTAAAAAACCAGTGTTAAAGAAAAGATGAAATTTTTTATAGATTTGAGTTTAATTTTAGTGTTATTTCACTTGCATTTGCTGCCAAATCAATTGGATACTATAAGGATCCAGGTATTATAATTAAGTCTTCGAATAAAACTAATAAACAATTTAAATGTTTTTATACCCTTCACCTTCGTGAGAAGGGTATATACAGTGAATCAATTAAGTAATTTGCCTATGTAAAATTTTATAAATTTTAAGAAAAAACTTTATCTGAACAATTATTTTTAGCAAAATAAAGCAATTTGTTTGTTGTATTTTTTAAAGAATATCTTATATTTTAATTTTCTACCATAAAAAGTAAAATCGTGATATTAATTAACGAGACTTTTGATAAAATCTGAACGTATTGTTAATTTTTAAGGTCAATAAAGTATTTTGCTTTTTTAGGTTTTTTGTTAATTTTTTTAATATTGCTGCATTATTTTATAAAATTTCATATTTTTATTACTCCTATATATTAGAATAACATTTTTTAGATATTTTAGTAGTGGAACGACTAAGTTTGGACATTTCTTAGCCGATTTATTATCCTATATACCTATAAGAATTTTTCAATATCTGACTTAACATGAAATCTATTGTTTCTTTGATTAAATTTCGAAAATAATAAGTAATTTTGAATTGGATACATGATATATTAGGAAATCAATGGATTTGGACCTAGAAAAAAATATTAGTGGGGTATAAATCTATAGATTATAACAAAAAAAATCTGGGTTTTGGTCATTTTGTATTGATAAACAAAAACTACACTACGGAAACCCCATCTATTTGGGGAGTACTGTGTGAATTTTATTTAGAATTGTATAATATTGATTCTTATTCAATAAAGCTAACACTAAGTACCATCCTAGCCACTCTAAGTATGGGGATATCACCTAACTATTACATGCTAGAATTTGATATTCTACCTCATATTTTGAATGCATTATTTTATGAATAAAATACAGTAGGCGTAGCTGGATTTGGATAGTTATTCTTGATTTGGATTCTAACTATATGTATATAAGTGTATGTATTAGCTGAAAAATATTGCTTTTGTGGATCTTAGGTGATGAGAACCGCCTCTATTTGTAAATACCTAAATTAAGTATTTTTCCCGTACCACACGATAGTTCACTTTATATTGTTTCCAAGCAACCTAAGGTCTGTTTAGAGGTCTAAATTTAAACATAATGTTCTTTAAAGTTCGTATACGGACTTTGGAGAAGATAAATGAGGACTTCAATGGTTTTTGCTTGGATACAAGTCGCTCTCCTTTGGCAGTTAAAGATTTTGAAAGACAACTCAGTGCGTTTTTTTTTTTAATAATTCTTTGTGTTAATTCATCAATTTCTATATTTTATATTTTTTAATGAATTCCATTGATTTATACTTGTTCTAAAAATCTAAACTAATTTTTTATATTTGAATTGCCTCATTATTTCCCTTTAAACATTTTTAACGCGATATATAACGTTTCACACAATAAGGATATGATTTTTGAAAATTACGATTGAAAAATACTTAACACGTGTCATTCTAACAATAAAACAATAAATTTCAAAAAGCAATTAAAAAATAATTTGAAAAACCCAACGAAATTAACTGGAAATTTCAATATGCAAAATACTTTATTGACGTGCAAATTCTGATGCAAAATAATAAAATGCAACAACAAATGCACCAACATTTTTATTTTAATATTTTTTTCTTGGTTTTCCCATTCTACACAATCTCTATTTTCAATTGGAAAACATAAATTTACTTTTTACCTGTTTTTTGAATTTTATTTATGAACAAAAAACGAAATTCTCTTAAAAAAGGTAGGCAAAAAACTTAGTTGATTCACTGTATAAGTTTTTCATTCCGTTTGTAATTTCTATAATATAATTTTCCGACCCCATAAAGTATATATATTCAGGATCCTTATAGGTAGCGGAGTTGATTAAGCTATGTCCGTCTGTCTGTCTGTCCGTCTGTGTGTTTGTTGACATCAATTTTTAGAGGACCCCAGATATCGACGAGATCCGAATCTTCAATAATTCTTTTAGACATGCTTTCGAGAAGATCGCTATTTAAAATCAGCAAAATCGGCCCATAAATACCGGAGATATGAGCAAAAATCCGAGACAACCTCTGAAAATTTCATAAAAAAGAAAATTTTTTTCATGCTTTGATATACGCAACAACAACAACACTGCTTATTCATTGAGTATTTCGTTTCATATGTTTGGATGGCTGTGTGTTTCATTGCCTTGTGTATATTGTTTTTGTTTCTTGGTGCATTCAGTTTCGTATGTTTGGATGTCTGTTGGTTTCATTGCGTTGTGTATTTTGTTTTTGCTTTTTTTTGAGTATTTCGTTTCGTATTGCCTTGTGTATATTGTTTTTGTTTTTTGGTGTATTCAGTTTCGTATGTTTGGATGTCTGTTGGTTTTACTGTCTTGTGTATTTTGTTTTTTTGTGTGTTTATTTCGTTTAGCGTTGTTGTTGTTCGTTTTGCTATTGCTATAATAATTATATAAACGGGAAAATTAAATAAATTAAAATTTTATAGAATTGATATTTTTTAAATACATTGTGGTGAAGGGTATATAAGATTCGGCACGGCCGAATATAGCACTCTTACTTGTTTTACTTCATTTTCTTTGAATCAAATAGCTTATCCTGGAAATGTGTTTATGGTGATCTTATTGTTTCGGCTGGTGAGGAAGCAAAATTGCCCGGAGACTGTGCTCTCTTTATGTGCGGCAATGAAAGTTTTGGCACTACACAGTGGTATAGGAAAAAAAAGAGGGAAATAATTCGGTAACTTCTAAACGGTTAATCCGATTTTGATGAAATTTGGTATGCACACAGAGGAGGTGTTGTCGAGTTTAGGTTTTGAATTTGGACCTTATAGGCCAACCAGGGGCCCGGCGGGGGTCCTCAAATTAGGACACCTCGGCTATGTTAAATTTTTAAAACGATCCTATTTCTTCATTTGAGTTCCGATTTAAAAATCTCCTCATCGAGCACTATAAAAAATGTCGTCGTAGCAGTAAATTATCTCTTATAGTTTAGGAGATATTCGCATTTGAAAATTAAAATTTTAAAATTTTTACCGTCCTTACTTTAGTTTTTTGATAATAGCGGGTCCAAATATTCCCGATTTTCGCCATTTTTTTTATTCGCTTAACAACAAGTTTATATATCAAGCAGTGAAAGAATTATGTAAAAATCATGACTGAGACCAAAGTTATAGGCATTTTAATTTAAAAAATTAAAAAAAGGCGATTTTTTGTCATTTTTTTGGGAAAAAAGTATATTTTTCTTTTTAAGTTATCTAAAAAGTTTCTAAGAAGATGTATATAGAATTTATACTTTTTGGAAAGCTGACTTTACATAAAATACGATAAATGAAACAAAACCTAAAACTTTTTGATACCGAGGGGACCAGGTCCATCCAAAAAAACCCTATTTTTTATGGAAAATTCAATTTTGAGCAAAAATTCTCAAATCGCATAGTCGATATCAAATTATAGTGACCTGTTTTATATGACCCAATATGTTCTTAATCATTTTGTAACGGGTTTCGATAACCCCGCCCCTGGTATGGATATAATAGGCAAAAAACCAAAAAATCCCATTTTTGAGATTTTTTAAAACTTTTTTGGGAATTCCGGGATTTCTAATAAGAAAATTCGAAATTTTTATTTAATTTTGGATTTTGAGTAAAAAAATCTACCTAACTGTAAAATTTCATCAAAAAATATTCAAAATTGAATTTTTATTGCAATTTGAAAAATTTGTATCTGCAAAAACTGAATAAAAAATATTTTTTATTTTTTTTTTTAAGTATTCCGCGAATTTTTTAATTTTCAAAAATTATATACAGTTTTGAAAAATAGACAAAATTACCTTTCCATTGATATATAACATGCCTACCTAATGTTTTTTTAAGTGACAAATTAATTAGGGAAAACTCAACATCTTTTAGAAAGTTTACCTAGCACTATTATTTTCATTCATAAGGTTAACTCTTAAATTTGTTACATATATGGATGAAAATAATAGTGCTATGTAAATTTTCGGATTAACCGTTTAGAAGTTACCGAATTATTTCCCTCTTTTTTTCCTATACCACTGTGCACTATTCAAACGTAAATATATTTCGAAAGTCTTTTATAAAACTATAAGTGAAAAAAAGCAGTATTTATTTTATTAATTTTTAATATTTATATTAAAGATGCGTTGTAATGTTGGCTCCAAATGGATGTCATTTTGGAGACTACCTTGATATTAATGCTTCATATCCAAATTGCTGTGATAAGGAAATTATATGTAATTAATTCGATGACATCTATTTATAAATAAATAAAAATAAAAAATTTAAACAAAAATGTACGAATGTTTTAAAACATTAATAAAAATATGTTATGACTAACCACATCTACACCGGTTTGTTTAAACAAATTATAAATCTCTATATTTACAGTGTGATAATTTTCTCAAAACATATTTATTGTTATATTTTCTCAAAAATATTTTTATTTGTTTTGAAATAGAGATCAATTGAAAGGTTGGTAATTAAATTGATTAAATTTTAATACACATTAACAAACATTTAATTAAAAACAAACAATGTACATCAATTTTTGTTTTGATCTTCTAAATATAATAAAACATATATGTACTATGTACACATATTAAATTTTATCAGCGCAGTTCATATGAATAATATTGCATCATTAAATTTAAAAAAAACCCAAATATTAATAATTGATAACATTTTTTGTTTATAGCAATGTTTTCCATTTAAAAAAAAACTTTCTAAAATATTTTAAATAATTAGTCAACTGTTGATAGCGTCCAATACAAGATGAAATTTTTAGTATTTTTGTTTATAATTTTAAGTGTTTGTTCACTAACATTTGCTGCCGTATCACAAGGATACTTCAAAGATCCTGGTAATATTTTGTTTTGCGAATTATTCTATTAGTAAAAACGAATTTAAAGGAATTTTTTTTATCTCCTAGCTCATCCTGGAAAATGTGTTTATGAGGGCTTAGTGCTTTCAGCTGGTGAGGAGGGAAAAATTCCTGGAGCGTGTGCTCGTATATTGTGCGGCAGCAACAGTTATGCCGAAATTCAAACGTAAGAAAAAAATAATCATAAAAAATAATAACAAAATAATAGTCTAGTCTACAGTCTAGTCTATAGTCTAGTCTATAGTCTAGTCTATAGTCTAGTCTATAGTCTAGTCTATAGTCTAGTCTATAGTCTAGTCTATAGTCTAGTCTATAGTCTAGTCTATAGTCTAGTCTAGTCTATAGTCTAGTCTATAGTCTAGTCTATAGTCTAGTCTATAGTCTAGTCTATAGTCTAGTCTACAGTCTAGTCTACAGTCTAGTCTATAGTCTAGTCTATAGTCTAGTCTATAGTCTAGTCTATAGTCTAGTCTATAGTCTAGTCTATAGTCTAGTCTATAGTCTAGTCTATAGTCTAGTCTATAGTCTAGTCTATAGTCTAGTCTATAGTCTAGTCTATAGTCTAGTCTATAGTCTAGTCTATAGTCTAGTCTATAGTCTAGTCTATAGTCTAGTCTATAGTCTAGTCTATAGTCTAGTCTATAGTCTAGTCTATAGTCTAGTCTATAGTCTAGTCTATAGTCTAGTCTATAGTCTAGTCTATAGTCTAGTCTATAGTCTAGTCTATAGTCTAGTCTATAGTCTAGTCTATAGTCTAGTCTATAGTCTAGTCTATAGTCTAGTCTATAGTCTAGTCTATAGTCTAGTCTATAGTCTAGTCTATAGTCTAGTCTATAGTCTAGTCTATAGTCTAGTCTAGTCTAGTAGTCTAGTCTATAGTCTAGTCTATAGTCTAGTCTATAGTCTAGTCTATAGTCTAGTCTATAGTCTAGGTCTATAGTCTAGTCTAGAGTCTAGTCTATAGTCTAGTCTATAGTCTAGTCTATAGTCTAGTCCTATAGTCCTAGGTCTATAGCGTCTAGTCTATAGTCTAGTCTATAGTCTAGTCTATAGTCTATCTATAAGTCGAGTCTATAGTCTAGTCCTAATAGTCCTTAGTCTATAGGCTAGTCTATAGTCTAGTCTATAGTCTAGTCTATAGTCTAGTCTATAGTCTAGTCTATAGTCTAGTCTATAGTCTAGTCTATAGTCTATCTATGTTCTAGTCTAGTCTAAGTCTATAGGTCTATAGTCTAGTCTATAGTCTAGTCTATAGTCTAGTCTAATAGCTATAGTCTATAGTCTAGTCTATAGTCTAGTCTATAGTCTAGTCTATAGTCTAGTCTATAGTCTAGTCTATAGTCTAGTCTATAGTCTAGTCTATAGTCTAGTCTATAGTCTAGTCTATAGTCTAGTCTATAGTCTTAGTCTATAGTCCTAGTCCTATAGTCTAGTCTATAGTCTAGTCTATAGTCTAGTCTATAGTCTAGTCTATAGGTCTAGTCTATAGTCTAGTCTATAGTCTAGTCTATAGCTGTCTATAGTCTAGTCTATAGTCTAGTCTATAGTCTAGTCTATAGTCTAGTCTATAGTCTAGTCTATAGTCTAGTCTATAGTCTAGTCTATAGTCTAGTCTATAGTCTAGTCTATAGTCTAGTCTATAGTCTAGTCTAAGTCTAGTCTATAGTCTAGCTATAGTCTAGTCTATAGTCTAGTCTATAGTCTAGTCTATAGTCTAGTCTATAGTCTAGTCTATAGTCTAGTCTATAGTCTAGTCTATAGTCTAGTCTATAGTCTAGTCTATAGTCTAGTCTATAGTCTAGTCTATAGTCTAGTCTATAGTCTAGTCTATAGTCTAGTCTATAGTCTAGTCTATAGTGTAGTCTATAGTCTAGTCTATAGTCTAGTCTATAGTCTAGTCTATAGTCTAGTCTATAGTCTAGTCTATAGTCTAGTCTATAGTCTAGTCTATAGTCTAGTCTATAGTCTAGTCTATAGTCTAGTCTATAGTCTAGTCTATAGTCTAGTCTATAGTCTAGTCTATAGTCTAGTCTATAGTCTAGTTTATAGTCTAGTCTATAGTCTAGTCTATAGTCTAGTCTATAGTCTAGTCTATAGTCTAGTCTATAGTCTAGTCTATAGTCTAGTCTATAGTCTAGTCTATAGTCTAGTCTATAGTCTAGTCTATAGTCTAGTCTATAGTCTAGTCTATAGTCTAGTCTATAGTCTAGTCTATAGTCTAGTCTATAGTCTAGTCTATAGTCAAGTCTATAGTCTATAGTCTAGTCTATAGTCTAGTCTATAGTCTAGTCTATAGTCTAGTCTATAGTCTAGTCTATAGTCTAGTCTATAGTCTAGTCTATAGTCTAGTCTATAGTCTAGTCTATAGTCTAGTCTATAGTCTAGTCTATAGTCTAGTCTATAGTCTAGTCTATAGTCTAGTCTATAGTCTAGTCTATAGTCTAGTCTATAGTCTAGTCTATAGTCTAGTCTATAGTCTAGTCTATAGTCTAGTCTATAGTCTAGTACTATAGTCTAGTCTATAGTCTAGTCTATAGTCTAGTCTATAGTAGTCTAGTCTATAGTCTAGTCTATAGTCTAGTCTATAGTCTAGTCTATAGTCTAGTCTATAGTCTAGTCTATAGTCTAGTCTATAGTCTAGTCTATAGTCTAGTCTATAGTCTAGTCTATAGTCTAGTCTATAGTCTAGTCTATAGTCTAGTCTATAGTCTAGTCTATAGTCAAGTCTATAGTCAAGTCTAGTCTATAGTCTAGTCTATAGTCTAGTCTATAGTCTAGTCTATAGTCTAGTCTATAGTCTAGTCTATAGTCTAGTCTATAGTCTAGTCTATAGTCTAGTCTATAGTCTAGTCTATAGTCTAGTCTATAGTCTAGTCTATAGTCTAGTCTATAGTCTAGTCTATAGTCTAGTCTATAGTCTAGTCTATAGTCTAGTCTATAGTCTAGTCTATAGTCTAGTCTATAGTCTAGTCTATAGTCTAGTCTATAGTCTAGTCCTATAGTCTAGTCTATAGTCTAGTCTATAGTCTAGTCTATAGTCTAGTCTATAGTCTAGTCTATAGTCTAGTCTATAGTCTAGTCTATAGTCTAGTCTATAGTCTAGTCTATAGTAGTCTATAGTCTAGTCTATAGTCTAGTCTAGTAGTCTAGTCTATAGTCTAGTCTATAGTCTAGTCTATAGTCTAGTCTATAGTCTAGTCTATAGTCTAGTATAGTCTAGTATATCGTCTAGTCTATAGACTACTTATCTATCTAAACTATATATTTAACTGATATTTTTTTTTTTAATTTTTTTATAGTTGTGGTGTAATGGCAGCTCCACCTGGATGTCATTTGGAGATTATGTCGATATTAATGCTCCGTATGGCAAATGTTGTGAAAAGAAAGTAATATGCGATTAAAGAGAATTTATTTAAATAATATAAACATTTATAATAACTACAAGTACAACTGAAAAACGACAGTTCTTGGAATTCTGATTGTTAAGGCCGATCAGGCAAATCTTATAAGATAACTAAGAAATTTTTAGTTAATCAGAACGTATACATATGCATATATAAACTTTGTGTGGTACATTAATATACAAAATATTATAATGATATTATAATTTTAACACAAATAAATGCATATTTCCTAAAAATACTTTGTATTCATGATATTAATTAAATTCCACATCATTAATTTAGTTTGAATCTCAAAACAAACCAAGTATGTACTTGCAATAATGGAATAGTGGTGACCTTCACATGATGTTGCAGATGATTTCAATAAAAATAATAAGTAATACTTACTATGTAAGTATGGTAAGTAGTATTTAATATTATGTATTTCATTTTATTCATGGGGCGCACCTAAACTGTAACTTGAAACTTTATTAAACTTGTAGTTATTTATTTAACAGTAAATAGTTAAAACACTTGTTAATAATGGGTGATATGGAAAAAAATTCCAATAATAAAATAATAATTATAGAAAATTCAGTTATTCAATTGCAATACTACCATCAGCAGCATTGTTGTCATCTTTAACCCTAAAGCAGAGGAAACTTTAGCAGAATAAAATATAAATAATTTTAAATGTTTAAGTTAAAAACTGCTTTGTTTCTTAACATTTTTATTTTGTTTTTGTAAAATGACATTAAACTATGACTTTAGTTTTTTTTTTGTTGTTTTTCTTAGCTGATTTAATATCTTTTAATTCCTGTAATTTACCACACATTAAGCCACTTTTAAATTGCTCTAAACCGAATTACAATTTGTTCAAATGAAATCTTTTGTTAGTTTTGTTGGGCTGCCTAAATGCAACGTTACAAAATTTCATGATCAAAGCCAAATGATTACAAAATAATGAAATTATTTATTTAATGATCCCTAAAGAACGAATTAAAATCATATAATAATCTACAAAAAGGCAAGTCTAAATACGATTTCCTAAAGTGTTAACAATTGTAAACATTAGGGAGGTATTTATATAGTTTAAATGGGAACTTTGAATACAAATATCTTAAAAGGAACTATGTATCTGATAATGTTAAATTGACTTTTGTAAAAGTATTAAATTAGTTTTTCGGGCTTTATATGTATATTTGTTTAGACCAGTCTATAGTATAGTCCAGTATATTGACCGGTCTATGGACTGGACTACTGACTGGTCTATGCTCTAGACTATTGGCTTGTGATATATTGATGAGGTTATTTACTAGGCTATTGATTAGACTGTGGACTACTCTATTGATTGATCTACTGGGTACTCTATTTATTGACTAATCTATTGTCTGGTTATGAACAAGTCCATAGACTGGTATGTGGACCAGTTTATTGGCTAGTTTCTAATCTATCCACTTGTTTGTGGACTATATAGTAAAAGTATATAAATACTTGTTTGTTGTAATCACTTGAAACATGAATTTTAAGTAATGTGGTTGCGATAACAAAATATATGGTTATTTATTTAGTTATAATAAACTAAACCGTTAATTAATCAGGTCTAATTAAGTACCTTTTGATATTCGCTTTCGAATCGTACTAAGACTCTCCTGATTAATTAAAATAAATGCCACCCTACATGTAACTGTTTATACCTGTGACATTAATTACTTAAAATATTTTTTTTGACGTTTCTATGGTTTCATGTTATTGGTACCCATCCTTATACATATGTTTTTGTTTTTTTGCCTTTTTTATTCTTGTACTTTAGATGTTTTGATTTGATTGCAATTAGTATTTAATAATAAACTCGTACTTTAGTTTTGATTATTTGAATGTCAAGTTCCGGAGTGTTTAAAGGCAAAATAACAATAAATTAAAAAAAGAAATACACATTGCACAATATGACAATATAAAACAATTTACACTTAAAGAAATTGTAATACAAAATAACAAAGGGCTAGAATATTTTTATTAAAAGTGAAATTTTAAATTTTAATTTTTTTAGAAATTTTTATAAAACATTTTTTGAAATTTCAATTTCATTAACAACATTTTAAAATATTTCATATATATTGCTGTTGATTTTTAGCCGTGTATTTATATGAATTTTATCTCGTTGTTATTTAAAATTCAATATTATTATTTCTTAAACATTCCACTTTATACTTGTTAGTTTTAAATGTCCCATAATGGGTGCCAAATTATAGATTTTTTTAAAAAACGAGGTTGCTGCTGCTCTTCTCTAAATACAATCAATACTTTGAAATGATGAACATTTAGAAACGTAAGTATTTGATATAGAAACATAAAATCCACCATAAATATGCTTACAGCAAGTCATGCTCTTTAAAATGATAATGAAAAATTAAACGAAAAAAAAAAATCATAAAAAAATTAACTAAAGATAATGATGCCCTCGTATGAATACTTAACAAAAAATCGAATGTACTTATGTATTTTTTTTTAGTAAAAAAGAAGTATTTTTTATCAAAATGCTAGATACAACGTTTGCATTATTAATAATATGCTGCCATAATAATGTAACAATAAATGCAGCAACCAGCACTAGCTACAATACCGATGATATTGGGCAACAAATAGCATCTTTAGTTGCTGCTGAAAATATTAATGTGGACAATCAATGAGCACAAGTCAAAGTGCAGTATGTGTTCAACTATATTTCACACTAGCAGTGATTAAAGCCCCTTTCACACGAGCACACAAGTAATATGATCTGTCAAAATTTTGTGTAGAAGAGTAGGGATGGTATAGTCTAAACGCAATATGTAATGAAACCATCATACATTGAGAAAATATACGGATGGAAAATTTGATAGTCGTATGGCTCTCTTCTTTTTTTGAAATGGTCAGGGATGTATTTTTATTTCATACAAAAAAGTGAAATAGCTGATTCCTTCTTACTTTGTAAGATGTCGTATGATATATAAAACATACGACTTTTATTCTCTTTTTTGTCATACGGATGGAATTTCATTTTTCTTTTTTATTAGACTTTACGTACGTAAAGTGAGATCGTCTGAAGGGCTCTTAAGTAGAAAAATTTCTGTAAATGATGCCTACTTTAAAAAAGTACTTTTCAGGTACCTTTTCAAACAAAATTCACCAAGAAGGTACTTTAAAAAAGTACTTTTTAGGTACCCTTTTAATATATTTAATTGACGACTTTTTATCATCAATAATTGACAATAGTCCATGTATTATATGTTTTTACAATACACTTCCCAGCAGTTCGACAAAGAGTCAATTGCATCTGAAAAAGACAGTGATTTCCACTAACATCTAACCACCTGGTTGGCACTAATTCGTCTTTCGTCTTTGTAAACGAGGGTGAAGATAATCGTCAATTTGTAAGCGAAACTTAAGCTTTTTGTCTGTCTCTTCGTAATCTATGGGGTGACGATTGACTTCCTCGTAGGACAAGCACATGTTAAAATAACTATTCACATCGGCAGTCGCTGGCTAGGGGTAACCCTTAGTGGTAGGTTAAATCAGTACTGTCCTACCGAACTGCTGGGTTACTTCGTATTAATTAACAATTCATTTTACACAACAAATATTGAAAAATGGTACAACAATTACAATGATATTAAAAAGTCAAGCTGCTGATGTATGATTGTAATACGAGATGAGGATCAATTTGAAATTTGAATTATTTCTTTATTACAAACAAATTAAATATGAACTATAATGAAGGACAAATATGATGAGAATTTAATTTGTGGTATAAATATAATTTTTCTCACTTGTTTGAAATAAACATTGTTGATTTAATTAAATATTAATAAATATCTTATTAATTGGAGTCATTTTTTTTTTCTCACCTGAAGACAAAAGAAGCTGTAGGAATGCTACGATTACATGAATTTTAAAAACGTAATTTTAAGTTCATTAACAGCTTTAGAATTTTATAAATCTACTTATTTATTCTCACACATTTTTTTAAGTACGTTTTAATAATTATTTTTTCTAAAAAAAATAAAATAAACCATTAATAACTTTATTAAGCATTTATGAATATGGGTGCGTAATAAACCTATAATAAACGATTAATACCTTTAGATAGCATAAGAGAAATCTGTTATAAAATCAATGAAGTACACAGAGGGAACAAAATACACACGCCTGGTACCAAATTGACACCAAATTTTTCAATAACATCCGTTGTCAAGTATATAAATACAACAACAACATGAAATGTTGATCATGAAACGTTGTCAACATTGCAACAATTCGTTGTACTCAATTTGCTATATCTGGTGGAGACTCTTTCAGTAAGGTTTATATACTACAGATGGCATTGCTGATCTATATTTGTTAAATAAATAACTGACACCATTTAGCCTTTTAAATTTCCCCTCCGTTACGCCCCTATTTCATATTCTACAACACTTAGAAATTTACTTCATTAAAACCTATCAAAACATTTTGAAGTTTCTTTTAATATAGAAAAACACAAAAAATTGCTTTAAAAAATTACCCACAAAATATATTTTTTTCTAATAAAAATTCCAAAACAAACCCAGTTTTCTACAATTCTACGTTTCCTGGCCGTTAACTAAAATGGACTTAAACTTAAACACAGAACGCACCAGAGGTCTTAGTTTAGATGATGATAATTTCAGCAATATTTCACGGATTTCATATGGTCTACACAATTCCCTAAATTCAGCCTGCAATTCCGATTCGGAATGTAGTGGACCCATTTCGGTGCGTGATATGATACAACATTATAATAAGCAGTTTCAAAGGGAAGATTGCAATCAAAGTAATCATAAAATTAAATATAAAATAAATACCGCCAAAAGACCTCATCAATCGCAACATTTATTGGCCGCTACCAAATCATCATATTGTGGTTTAAATAATTATGGCTCTCATATCAACAGTAAGCAATTCACTGACCAATTGGAAAATAAATCATTAATGGTTTTCGATGAACATAATGATCTCACCTCGATCACTTGCTGTAAGAATTGCACAGCATGTATGTGTTGCCAAAATAGAAGCCGTACAAATTCCACAACCAATAAAATGTTGTCGTCTACCTCATTGCAGCCAAATAATGAGAACAATATACCGAAATCCAAAAACAGTGCTAGTGGTACTAATATGACTGCTGGTGGTGGTGTTTGTCTTAGAAGCTCTAACACCAAATGTAATAAAATTAATGCTAAAGATACTCCTCATATTCTTGCGGTTAAGAATTGTACCAATATCAACGATGTAACAGCAACAGCAGCGGATATTAATGCCAGCTATAGCAATAAACCAACGTTATTAAATGATTTCTGCAGCAGTGCAGCAGAACTTAACAAAGACTATACTAACACCACTAAAAGCAATGGTCTCTTTAATAAACATAATTCTCAAGTTGTGGTGATGGAGCAGAATAATAAGCAAAAGAATCGTTTACTGTCAACTGATAGCGTTGAGGAGGCCAAAATTTGTCAACAGCCAACAATTGAAACATCCTATCAAAGTAAGACCACAATTGCAAAGACATCAAGTGGTAAGTTGTATTAAATACAATAACATCATATGTATGAGTACTTACGATACCAGACCCAAACATAAATCAGTTAAAATTACTTAATTCTTTATATTTTGACACACTAATACAAATTGCAGAATAATAAATAAATAAAAAAATATTTAGTTAAAAAAAGTATTAATAAATAAACAATTTGGTTTTGCATTTATATGTTTGTATCTGAATTTAGGTGTGCGCATTATTATTGATATATTCTTTGATCAAGAACGTTGTAGCAATAATGTTAACGATATAGTGGGTAGTAGGGTGGAAACTGATATACCACAAAGTCGCATCTTAAGTGAATTTCAACAACAAACTCTGGCAGCTAATGAAAACTCTAACCCCAAAATGGTTAATACTGCTGATACTAACACTTCTTATCATGATTTGTAAATGTTTGGAATGGAAAGAAGAACCCTTAAAAATGCTGCTGTTGATCTAACATTAATTTGTTTGCTTTCCTCTAAGTAGGTGACTATTTAATGGATTAATATTTTTAAATTTTTAAACATTCATTTTTGGCCTGCTTTTCTGTTAAGAATATATTTGAAAAAAACTATTTGATATTTTTTTATATTTCGTTAGTAGTTTATTGTTGGAATTTTTATATATTTTTTGGATTTAATAAAAACTGTACATTAACAATTTACTTTATTTGGTTTTATAAGTTATAATTTATGTTTAATGGCATTGATTTGTGGACAATTTAACCGGAAAACCCAAAGACCCAGCAAATTACTTAAAATTTTTTTCTCACTCTTTTACAACATAATAGTATACTCACAATTGGGACGAACGAAGAATTTTTCGGAACGAATATTCGTCGTCAGAAATAGAACACACTTAAGTATATGAAAATCTACACAATCATTGCGTATGACGAAATTCGTCGTACGTAACGAACTATGCGATAGGTTTATTTCTATTTACTACGCAGACGAACGACGAATTAATTGGGGAAAATTGTTTTAAAACCAATTCCGGTAGCCCGAATTTGCTGAAATTTGGCGGTTGTGAGTACAGCTAATGACGACAATACAATATTATGTTCGACTATTCGAAATTATATTCAAAAATTCGAAGTTAGGTTCGAAAAATTTTTTATGCTCTTAAAATAATCTCTGGGTCATAAGAACTAAAAATAATATTTTCAAAAATTTGAACTTAAGTTCGAAAAAATTTTAAAGCCATTAAAACCAGTTCTCGTGGCCCGAATTGTCTGAAATTTGGCAGTCTGGAGTACACTTGATGACACTACAATGCTATGTTGGAATATTTTAAATAAAGTTCGAAAATTCGAAGTAATGTTCGAAAAAATTTTGAAGGTGTTAAAATAATCTCAAAATTGGGGATATTCACAAAAATATAATTTTTGTTCTTTCTTACATTTCTAATTACGAAATAATGTTCCAATAAATTTTAAAGCTGTTAAAATTATCTCAAAATCGTGGAGGTTCACAAAAATATAATTTTTGTTTCTTTTTCTTACTTTTTCCAATTTCGAACAAACAAATTTTAAAACGAATTCACAGTACGATGAAACAGAAATTTACTACCGTCTATATAATCACAATACCAGCTTCCAGGCAGAAGTCTGAGCAATAACGCAATGATTAAATTTGATTATATTTATTATAATCCAATTTACGCATTCCATTATTGATCGGACTTCTGTCGTTTTTGATCGGACTTCGGCGTCAATAGCGGTTAACATATTTACCAAAAATCAGAAAGCAATTACGGCGATATCAAGTGATAAGGATAAATCTAAAAGCTTTAACCGAATACTCTAACAGAGGTCAGCTTTACATCATATGGGTATCAGCCCACTAGGGAATAGCTGGCAACGAAAGAGCGAATTTACTTGCTTTAAAGGGGAGGGAGCTCGAGATACATAGTTAACTTGACGAATGCAGAACCATACGACGCATCGGGAGCCAAAATGAAGATATGAAGGAAAGAATTCCCTAAGGCCTCTTGGAATAATGAAACGGTGGTTAGAGCCACAAGATCCTATGGAATGATCCTAACGAGAGCAGGACAAGATGCCTCCATAAAATAACCAAGTCTGAGGTTAGAATAATGGTACGTTTTTTGAGTGGACACACAGGATTACGGCCACAACTATGCATGATTGGATGGGCGGATTCAGACGAATGTAGAGCATGTGGACAGAACCGTATAACTCTGGAGAACTTTCTTTGTTATTGTCAGGCTTTCGTCGAAATTATATCTTAATAACTTGGAAGTTATATTATTCCGGATTCTTAGAAATTTCTTCCAGAAAACATCGGACGATAATACCTTCATTAATCAATATACACATATAAGGTTATTGTTTTTACCAACCAAAATTTTCCATGAAAAGGAGCATAAAACAGTCCCGATAGTGGCCTAGGTGTATTTCCTCCTATCAACCTAAGTAACGTGGCTTAAATTAATCCTTGAGGTTGATACCTCGCAGCTAATATTTATACCCTACTTAAGTGGGGAGGGTATATTGGGTTTGTGCTGATGTTTGTAACGCATAATATTATTCGTCCCACATCTACCTTAAAGTATACCACCAATCGGCTTAGAATTATTTTCTGACTTCGTCTGTCTGTCCGTCCATATAAACTTTGTAATCAAACTATAGGTCACAATTTTAAAGATAATTCAATGAAGTTTGATTTGAGCCGAAGCGTATTGAAAATGGTTAAAGTCGGTCCATTATTTCACCTAGCACTCATACAACTAAACCTCCCCAATAGTGTTAAAATAAATAATATTAAAAATATATTAAAAACATACAGAAAAAGCACATTAAATTGCCGCCTATTTATTAATAATTTCCCTAACAAAATTTAATGGTTTAAATTATAAAACAAAGATTTTAAATTTAATAAGCTTTTTAACAGAATTATAATAAAATTACCATACAAAGGCTTGAAAAAGAAATAACCACTTTTAACACTTGTATAATTAACATTTGACTTTAAAAATTACCAGTAAGAAAAAATCAAGGAACATAAATAAATATATGATTTAACAATTATATATGAGAATTTGTTGTGGTTTATGCAAATATTAAATAAAAAAGGGTTTTGGCACGATTTTCTATTCAATTACCCCAACAACTTTAAAAAGTCAATGGGAAATAAAAACTCTAAAAAAAAAGGCGTAGAAAACTAACAGAGGAATTATGTCTGCTTAATGATAATGACCCTATAATAAAAATTATGTTTTAAGTAAAAATTTTTAACATAAAAATATTATTTGGCTAAAAAGTTGATTTTGAAAATATGATTAGATTTGAGTAGGAAAACATGCATATGTATGTATGTACCTTATGTCGGATGGCAAAAATAAAAAGATTGTTAACTTTAAGAAATATGCAAGCAAATTGTGTGATTAACTCGTGATCTAAATGAAAAATATTACTTTCTAGTTGTCTACCTTTAACCAAAAATCAAAGCATGAGTATAAATATTTGAGTTTTTCTTTTGGTTTATTACAAAATCTCTTATGCAACTTGTGGCATTATGATGTTGTCTAATATTTTTTTTGCCAACTGTAGAAGGCAGAAGATGCTGCAATAAGTTTTCCAGTTGCAACTAATAAGATTGCAAGAAACTCTATTTTTTTTAAACAATCTCTGCCAAAAAATAATGGCAAAACTAACAATAACTTGGTTAACGATATATTTTAAGTTAATATGACCATAATCCATTTAATGTAAATAACTAATGATGAAGTTATAATCATATGACTTTAATTCACAAGATAACTAAATTTAATGTTAGATATTTTTGTGCTTTGAGTTACAAATGATTTGAACTGGAAAATATGATTAACTAATAGACAGATGTTGGTTTAAAATATGAAATTTTAAAAAATTGATTTTTTCAATAAAGGAATACCAGGCATGGAGGGTAATGATTACACAAAGTAATTCATTACATGGTCAACTACAATTACTTGTAATGTGTAATTGAGAAATAACCAATTACAAATAGGTACTTGTAATTCTAATTGATGTTTTTACAATTACAATTACTTGTATTTGTAATTGAAGTTTCCAATTAAAATTACTTGTAATTGTAATTAAGGTATTACTAATTACGAATTACATGTAATTATAAGGAAAAAATTCACAATTACAAGTAATTGTAATTGGCAAAACTTCAATTACAATTACAAATAATTGTAATTGGAAAAACTTCAATTACAATTACAAGTAATTGGTAAACCTTCAATTACAATTACTTCAAATGTAATTGTAATTAAAAATGTAGTCATTACCCCCAACCCTGAGGAATACTTATATATTTATACCCTACACCACTTAAGTGGGGAAGGTATATTGGATTTGTGCTGATGTTTGTAACGCATAGTCCTATACCCAACTTTAATTATACCAATCGGTTTAGAATCATTTTCTGAGTCGATTGAGCCTTCCGCCCGTCTGTCTGTCCATGTAAACCTTCTAAACAAACTACAGGTCGCAATTGTATAAAATTTGGTACACACATTACTTTTAAACCAAGAACGAACCCTATAAATTTTGGTTGATATCGCTCCATTATTTCACCTAGCCCCCATATAACCGGACCACCTAAATTGGGATTTGAGCTTATAATTATGCCAAATATACTAATATCCCTACAAAAATAGGCTCAACAACGTTGAGCATAAATGATACTACAAAATTTCGTAATGAGCGGCCCTTATTTAACCCTACCCCTTGCAAAGTTCCCCTCTGAAAATGTTTGAACGTGGTTAATTTCCTTATAAACACCTGTATTTCAATGAAATTCGGTATAATTCTGTTGGGATCGGTTCATAATTGACCCTAGCCCTCCATATCATGTTTTCATCAAAAATATATCGAAATTAATGACAAATTCAATATAAATGCTTTACTATTAAAATTAATGCACATTTTAGATATACTCGTAACTGGTGTAGGGTAACATATGGTCGACCACGCCCGACTATACTTTTTTACTTGTTTTAACTTACCTTAAGTTTTGCCAATTGAATTAAAAAAATTGTAACTGAAATTAAATAAAAAGAACGAGTATATAGATAATGATCAATTCAACTCTATTTTAATAATAAATCTTACAAGTTTTAAACACATTTCTGACATTGGAGGCAAGTTCTTATCACGCTCGTTTACAAATAACGGCTTAAATAAGTACTTATAAACAGATAGTTATGTAATGCATTTGATAAGTAGTAGTAATTGAAAAGTAATTTATTCTATAACAGCAATTTAGTTTATTTTAGAAAAAAAAAGATTTAAATTTTTTCGTTAACATACACAAATTGATTTCATTTATTATAAAGTTAAAAATTTCATTTCCCTGTACCACTATTATTTGCTTTTATAATTTATTACTTTATATAAATTTCAAAATTTTGAAATACATTTTTGTAGGTTGCATCAACTATGAAAAACACAAACAACAAATAGACCCATCTCTTTCGGTTGTCATGTAGTTTGAGAGTAAATAAATGAAAAAACCACAAAAAAAATAAAATTAACAAAATGTAAATTGTTAAAATTTTAAAGGAAATTGTTTTCTTATTTTTTTTATTTAAAATTAGTTTCACCAATTGCAGATAAACGTTTTGTGATGTTCACACATTTGTTTAGGAAAT